GGAAACTAGGATGCTGCTCTAAAGTAAAAGAAATTAAAGCCCACATAACCAATGGTACTGCTCCAACTTACACTAAATCCCGGCCTGTTTCTTTGGGGGGGGAGGGAGTAACTACAAAAACACACTCTTGCAACAACTGGTTCTTACAACAGGCACTGACTCAAAGATACTGTCACTTTCTTAAATGCAAATATGTCCTTCCTGGATTATCTTTACTGTTTGGAGACAAATACTGAAGTATTTAAATACACTTCCCTAAAAGAGCACTGGAACATTGGACTATACAGTACAGTACAAACACTTCTTCTGAATTAAACTATAAGAAGAGCTAGACAACCCAATGCCACAACACAGTCCTCTGTACACTCTGTGTGGCTGGGCCAGTTTCCAGATGGCCTAAACAGGTCACAGTACTATTTCTGGGAAGCTCTGGCATGCTAAGATTATATGCTAGTCTTTTCTAAAAATATCTAAGCCAGTAAATCTTCTAAAAACGAAGATTCTATATCAATAACCATAGAACTAAAAGGATTAAGTGCCCATGTACTAGATAAACATCAACAAGCAAACCATATTCTCATATACCATCAAAAAAATCTTTTTCAAGAACATTTTTAAATGATAATTTCTAGTTATAATGAACATCCAATATTTAAATATAATCAATAAGTGATATATGAAATCCTCTTTTAGGGCTTTGGGCACCTATGCACATGTGCCTGGTATATTTTTGAAGTTGCAGGGTCCAGTTCTTGAACTGTGCTATCAGTCATGTGGGATCCAGCCATCTTAACCTCTACACCATCTGCTGGCCCCCTCCTTCATGATATTTAACAATTAGACTAAGAATGAGAATAGAACTCCAATAATTTTACATACAAAAATTCTAACAATAGAACAATTATAATATAATATCAATTCAAATTAACAATCAGAATGGGGGAAATAGGAGAAGGGAGGAGAAGAGGGAGGGAGAGGAGAGAAATGGAGGGAGGGGAGGAAAGAGAGAAGGGAGGTGCCAGAAGAGGCTTCAAGCAGTATCTGTGTGACCTGAGCAAACACCCTTGCCTGTCCCTATTCAATTTTCTAATTTGTGAAGTGGAGGCATTCGTTACAAGGGTTACAAGGAAAGATATGTAAACTGCCTGAAGGAGACTTCTACGAAGAGTGAACCAGAACGTCAGTTACGAAGGAATCGGACCTTTTCCTCCAGGGGCATGACGAGGATCCCTCCCACTTTGAGCAAGTTCTTCATGTACTCCTCATGTTCCTTCTGCACGCCAGCCCCACAGTAAACACGGTCATACTGAGAACACTCTGGAGAAAGCTCAAGGCAGTTGCCAGTTACAAAGGAAGGTTCACAAAAGTCAAACCTGGAAATACAAAATGTTTTCTGTAATTAAATGGATCATGTTTCAACAAGTCTATATAGAAACTCTATGCTAGCCACAGGTTATGTTTTAACTGTAAAATCCCATAACAATGTAATGCAGTTTACAGAGCCAGAAGCTGGAAGTCATACTTCCAGAAATAATTATACTGTATAAATACAGCCCTAGGCATCCCAACCACAACAGCATGAAGGTGACTATGAGAAGCACGGTCCAAATCTAAGACAACCTCCAAACACTGCTGTCTTTGCTGTTCTGTAAGTCGTCGTCTTGTTCAAGGTCTATCTACTATGCAATGAGGAAAATGACGAGAAATACAGGTGATTTTTCTACAAATTTTACTCCCTAAAAACAAAACCTTAAATGCCCTATTTTAAAAACAGCAAGAGCTAGTTGGATATATAGTTCAGAGAAGAATGCAACAATTTTATTTTAGAAATGGGTAAAGAAAAAAGGCCACTGAAGACACGAAAATTAAACAAAACAAACGTTTTTCTTCTTGTATTATGTTAGTAAAAAATTACCTTTACTTTAGTATCGCAGTTGAAAAAAAACTTTAATCCTTAAAAACACAGAATATTAAAATCATAACTAGAACATATACATAACCCTGGGATCACACTGCCACAGTTTATCACATTTACTGACATATGAACACTAGCAAACTTCTTTCTACCTGATCAACAATTTGTTAAATTATAACCCACACCCTCTAATTCAGCAGATTGTACTGATCTTACTTGTCAAAGCTGTCACTTGTCCTGATGAAGAAGTCCAGTTTCTGCTTTGCATACTCTATCACATCTGAATGAAGTTCTACCCCGTGGTTGACACCAAAAGGACCTAAAATAAAAATTAGTTTTTGGAATAAGAAAATTTTTAAAACTAATACTCTTGTTCCTTTGTTTATTTCTATTTTGTCAATTGTAATACAACCTGTAGGTGCTGTTACAGAAATTCAAATCTTTGAAATCTTATCATTTTGTTGGGCCAAAGGCACCCAAATAATATTAGAACAGGAACAGTAGTATCTGATCGCCACATCATAAATACTGGATGTGAACCAGGGTCTGGCTGCTCTCAAATTTTTGAAGAATCATTTGAAAATAGAAAAAAGAGGCCAGCAGGTAGTGTAGTAGTCAGGGTGCTGGTCTCCCACAAGGCTGACCACAATTTGTGAACTGGACCTAGTGGCTTGAAAGTCACACAGGGCAGGTGTGTGTGTGAGCCCAAAATCCTGAGAGAAGGGACTGTGTCATGGCCATCTGCCCCGGGGAGGGTGGGAGACATTTCTCATTTTCCCTCTCTCTGTCTCTCTCTGGCCAGTGCATGTGACCTATGGTAAACACACACACACACTAAAAAGAAAGGAGAAAAAAGCCACGAGTTCAGGTTCTTACTAATGAAGTGAAGATGCATGTATTCACAAATGAAATTAACACAGACCTCATGTGTGTTTGTTCAGACGTAGCATTTAAGACATTTAAGACTATTTCTATTTTCAATGGAAAGTCTCTTAAAATACTCAGGTGTTTGTTTTTTTTATTTTTAATTTGCTATAAGGTGTGTGAGCTTCCCAGACAGAGAGAAATCAACTCCCAGGAGGATGACCACACCACAATTTATTCTCTCCCACTCTCCTCTCAGGATACTGGACACACACAAGTGCTCAGTGTGTTTTTTTAAGAGGTTTTTGCTTTAGGGTGCATGTACTCACTGGAGAGAGAGACAGAGACAGTGAGAGGGAAAGTGAGAAATCACCCACCAGGGGTTGGCTACGCAACAATCCCTTCTCCTCCATTCTCCCCCTGGGACCTTGGGCATGCATGAACATGCATCTGGCATGACTTTCAAGCTGCTGAGTCCAGGACTCAAACCGTGGTTGGCCACATGGGATCCAGTGATATAACTGTTACACTATATGCTGGCTCCATCCCAGCATGGTTTTCAAGCCATTGGGTTGGGATTAAAACTTTGCAATGAGCCATGTGGGACCCAGTCACCCCACCCACCACACCATCAGCTGGCCCTATCACTGATATTTATTTTAATAATCCTCACTAAATAGGTTTTACTAATTAATATAACACTGTGATTCCAAGTTATAATGATTTTTTTTTAAGTTTTGCAGTAGGACACATGCACATGCCAACCAGAGAGAGACAGAAACCCCCGGAGTGGCATAGCTGCGATCCCTTTCAGAATTTTAGACACACATACAGTCACATTCAGCATGGTTTTGAAACCACCAAGTCCAGGATTCAAACCAGGTAGTTGGCCACGTGTCATCCAGCCACATTAAACTCCATACAACCTGCTGGCTCAAGTTATTTTAATTTTTAATTTTTGCTACAGGGCATATGCACTCACCAGAGATGGAAAGAAAGAGGCAGAAAGCACTCCCCATAGGAATGGCCACACCACAATCCTTCTTTGGAAAAAAAAATTATTTAATTTTATTAATTATTATAATTTTTAAATTTTCTACAGGGCACATGTGTTTATCAGAGCGTGACAGGGAGAAAGAAAGAGAAAGTGAGAAAGTAAGCCACCAGGTCTGGGACTAGAATTACAGTTGACCAGTACCTTAACCCCCATGCCACCTGCTGGCCCCAACAATCCTTTCTTCTCCATTCTCTCAGGATCCTGGATTCACATGCATGTGCACACGCACACACACTCACAAGGCGTGATTTTCAAGCTGCCAGGTCTAGGAATTGATCCAGTCAGCCATGTCGGATCCAGCCACTGTCTGGCTGACGGTGAAACGTTTTTATTTCTTCTATCAGAGACAGAGAGAAAGAGAGACAAGCACCTATCCAACATGACCCCCAGGCCGCAATCCACCCCATCAGCTGCCCGGATCATGAGTGCGTGTGTCCCTGGTACTGTCAGAGAGACCCGGAGGTATGAAACCAGAGTGCTCCTTGTGCGTATCCTTCCTGTGTTTTACTACTGTGCTACCACCTGGCCCCTGAAACATTTCTTGTATCAAAGAAATGCACTAGTACTTCAAAGTAAAACAGAAAATATATAAGTCCCCTTCACAATTAGTGGTCCTTCCACATAAAACTGCCTCTAAGTTAACTCACGATGGTAGAGAACAGGCTACTGACACATGGCCAGGAGGGGTCTCCATGTTGGGGAACCCTTTACCTGAAGGCCGGCACCAGCTAGGACTGATCTGTGCTGGTGGAGAGTCAGACTTTTCTGGGGGTTAGGGGACGTGAGTGCCTCTGGGCACTGACACCGATGTGCAGCTTGTTCCAGGCAGTGCTTACAAGAGCAAGTGCATGGAAAGCCTTGTCATTCGAGTGTAGGGCACGGTGCCACAGACTACAGAAAGCTGCTTATCTTCCACGCATCATGCCTGTATTCTCACGAGCCACTCACCGTCACTGCCAAACACTTAGTAAGGAGTTAATTCCAGTCACACACACAGCTTGACTCCTATTCTGCAGCAGTGTGGAGCCAAACACAGCAGTAGCACGTAGTCCTCAATCACCTCTCAACAAAAAGATAATTGGCAACAGGAGGCAGTGGGTTTGGGAAGGTGGCACCCAGGGACACAGCAACGGCACACAGAACTGGGCCAGACCTAGGCAGCCCCCAGAGGCAGAGAGACTCTCACATGCACCCTGTACCCAACACACAGCACATGTGCCTGGGCATGTCGCAAGAGCCCTGCTGCAATGTCACTCTTGCAGCCTCCCCTTGCCAATGGGAAACAAAGAGGAGAGAACGCAGCTGACACAGGACAATGTTCAGGCCTGACGAGAGGTCCGAGGGAGGGCTTTGTGTCTGTCACAAGAAAGACCTGAGATCTCATGTTGCAATACTGGGCAACCAAGAAGCTCTCACTCTGGCTGGTCCTCGTGAACAGGCAGTAAGGCCGCATGCACTGGAGCATCTGCAGCAGACACACACCCACAAGAGCAAACCCCGAAGTCATGTCTTAAAACACAGGAAACCGCCGGTCTCACCCACTATAGCTGTCCTTCCTTCAGCTCTCTCCTGACACCGCTAACCAACTCCTAGTACACAGAGGACTCAGAGAGACGTGGCACTATCCAATTACAAGCCCAGGGACCAGCAGTTAGTGTAATGGCTATGTCGCTGGACTCCCATGGAGTCGACCGCAGTTCAAGTCCCAGACCCAGTGGCTTAAACTCACGCCAGGCACTTATGCGTGCGTGCCCAAGATCCCGAGAGGAGAATGGAGGACAAGGGATTGCGGCATGGCCATCCCCCCCTGGGGGGTGATTTCTCACTTTCTGTCTCTCTGTCTGTCTCTGTCTTTCTGGTGAGCGCACGCGCCCTATGGCAAAAAAAAAAAGAAAAAAAAATTACAAGCCCTTTATGACGGTGAGGGGGTGTCAAGGGTAATAGGCCATTTCAGGCTTCAAGGCACCCTTTCCTAAGTATTTCTGCTCTTTTAAAGAAGAGCTCTGATCTTGGGAACCAGCAGTTAGCATAATGGCTATGTCGCTGGACTCCCACGTAGTCAACCGCAATCCTTTCTTCTCCATTCTCTCAGGATCCTGGATTCACATGCATGTGCACACGCACACACACTCACAAGGCGTGATTTTCAAGCTGCCAGGTCTAGGAATTGATCCAGTCAGCCATGTCGGATCCAGCCACTGTCTGGCTGACGGTGAAACGTTTTTATTTCTTCTATCAGAGACAGAGAGAAAGAGAGACAAGCACCTATCCAACATGACCCCCAGGCCGCAATCCACCCCATCAGCTGCCCGGATCATGAGTGCGTGTGTCCCTGGTACTGTCAGAGAGACCCGGAGGTATGAAACCAGAGTGCTCCTTGTGCGTATCCTTCCTGTGTTTTACTACTGTGCTACCACCTGGCCCCTGAAACATTTCTTGTATCAAAGAAATGCACTAGTACTTCAAAGTAAAACAGAAAATATATAAGTCCCCTTCACAATTAGTGGTCCTTCCACATAAAACTGCCTCTAAGTTAACTCACGATGGTAGAGAACAGGCTACTGACACATGGCCAGGAGGGGTCTCCATGTTGGGGAACCCTTTACCTGAAGGCCGGCACCAGCTAGGACTGATCTGTGCTGGTGGAGAGTCAGACTTTTCTGGGGGTTAGGGGACGTGAGTGCCTCTGGGCACTGACACCGATGTGCAGCTTGTTCCAGGCAGTGCTTACAAGAGCAAGTGCATGGAAAGCCTTGTCATTCGAGTGTAGGGCACGGTGCCACAGACTACAGAAAGCTGCTTATCTTCCACGCATCATGCCTGTATTCTCACGAGCCACTCACCGTCACTGCCAAACACTTAGTAAGGAGTTAATTCCAGTCACACACACAGCTTGACTCCTATTCTGCAGCAGTGTGGAGCCAAACACAGCAGTAGCACGTAGTCCTCAATCACCTCTCAACAAAAAGATAATTGGCAACAGGAGGCAGTGGGTTTGGGAAGGTGGCACCCAGGGACACAGCAACGGCACACAGAACTGGGCCAGACCTAGGCAGCCCCCAGAGGCAGAGAGACTCTCACATGCACCCTGTACCCAACACACAGCACATGTGCCTGGGCATGTCGCAAGAGCCCTGCTGCAATGTCACTCTTGCAGCCTCCCCTTGCCAATGGGAAACAAAGAGGAGAGAACGCAGCTGACACAGGACAATGTTCAGGCCTGACGAGAGGTCCGAGGGAGGGCTTTGTGTCTGTCACAAGAAAGACCTGAGATCTCATGTTGCAATACTGGGCAACCAAGAAGCTCTCACTCTGGCTGGTCCTCGTGAACAGGCAGTAAGGCCGCATGCACTGGAGCATCTGCAGCAGACACACACCCACAAGAGCAAACCCCGAAG